ATGAATATAATTCGAAGCGTGTAGATGTGCAAGGCCCGACGTAATATCTTTGAAGAACGAATAAATCTCCTCAAACTGTAATTTCCGCTGCGATGATCTCAAATTTGGTCGTTCGGCGCCCCCCCTCGATCTTCTTCGCATTTGCTCTTTCAATTGTTCATTTGTTGTCTGCATGTTTGGTGTAGGTCCAGCGATATAACGTAGTAGGTCTCCGGAGTTGCAATACTGCTGAAGAATGTAGGCACATGGTACTGAGGGACTGAACCGATTCAATTGAACGTCTTCCAGCCAGACATGTCGATAGGATACGAGGTTTGGGTGAGAAAGCCCCTGCAAGAGTTGAACCTCGATGAGAACTGTAGAAGTTAGTACCGGAATCGCGAGTAAAGAGAGTTATAATACCTTTCTCTAACCACGCATGATCATCTCCAACTGGTACTCTTTTGCACGCAAATTGACCTACAACCCGTCAGCACTTCGTTGCGTAAATTCCTGGATTTCCATACCTAGAGACACTCCATCAAGCTCATGGCGGACCAACAGAACTACTCCCTTTCCTCCACGGCCTAATTCCTTTTCTTCAATGAAGAATCTCTTGAAGTAGTTTGGGCTAAAAGCTTCCTTCTTTATGGTATGACCTGTTTCCACTGCTGGAGTGCTTGCCACAAATTCTACATGGTCTTCTGCATCATCTACATAGTTCGCAGATGGCGAAGCAGGTTGTACGAGTCTGCGTATCGGACTGGAGGGTGGTTGCTCATTCGGACCACTATTTGCAGCATGAAGCATGCGAAAGTATTCTGGAGCTATGAAAGCATTTGCACGAGCGGAAGGAGTAGGCTGCTGTCGTTCGGGAGAGGGTGTGCGCAACGGTCGGTGACATGTCGGACAATCATTCAAGACGAGACCAGGAGGGGCACTTCGCAGAACTAATTGTTGAGTATTGGGATCTCTTATCACGATCGCATCATCATGGCGACTGTAACATTAAATATTAGCATGTATGCGCTTGCTAGCTAGCTTCCAGCTTCCGCCTCTTCAAATGATCTATATGGGAAAAAAATGAGGTATAACTTACAGTACAATTTCTCGACTGTCTCGAGATGAATATGGGACCAAAGACATGGTAGAGAGTTGGAGCTTGTGAAGTCAAGTCAAGCCAAGCAATTGGTTGATGTTATAGAACAAGATCTTTTTCGATCTCTTATGTCGCATTGTTCATTGTTGAGTGATGCTTTATAAAGATAATTAAGTCAAGTGTGAATACCAGAGAGGTAGGTGTAGATGCATGCAGCAATTGCAGCAATGTGAAGATACACAATATTATTCAACATCCAATTCCCATTTCCCAATAAACATTTTAACATTCATAACCTTAACCATGTCACAATGACCATCTCATGTTAACCTTATCCAACTTATCGGGGGTCGGTCGGTCGGGGCGATCATTCTAGTGACTGCCATTGTTGTCCAGGCGTTTCCCTTTCCCCACACTCTTGACCTCAGCCTCACTAAAAATGTTTATTTTAGAGGTCTCCGACACTAATAAGGTGGTCACTAAGGTGGCCACTAAGGTGATACTACCGACATGGGCCGATCCACCAGATCCTAAATATCCAACAAACCTCCCTCACTCACACCCCTCTGTACCCAATTGTATATCCAATCTTCAATCTTCAATCTTCATTCTTCATCCTTTACACCTGCATCCAACCATGACTTTGAACTTACGAGGCCTTCAGGTGACAAGACCCTCACCAATTACCATAAGCTACGTGTGCTGTTGAGCTTTGAAGATTCAATCAACTTTCGATGACTTGATGGATGAGTTTGTGACCCCGTTTACGAAGCAAAACCCTCAAAGTAACAGCAACGGCTGGCACGAGGCGGGTACCTACATCGATCCATCCTGCTTAAATCAAACATTCCGCATCACTACATTATCATTGCTGATCATTCACACGTGGGCAGATAGTATGGAAGTCGTCTCAAAGAATGATCTCCATAATCTACAACCTCTCAATGCTAGACAGCATTAAAGCCATCTGATATTGATGCTCGGGATTGAACGTCATTCCTATTTTATTCCTGCTTACGTGAAGTCTCCAAACAGTGACAACGGATGCAACATTGTACTGCTGTCAGGGGAGATTGTTACGAAATCCACGCCGAAGATAATCGGCGAGGATTGTTTCAATGTCTTAATTACTGTACCACATGATTCCCTCGACAAAATCCGCCAAAGATTATCCTGTGCCGCATACAAAATTGGCCATTCCGCTTTGACATATGCTGGGCCCAATAATACATCTCGCGCACATGGCAACGCGATTATGTACGGGTCTCGCATGCTTTGTCCTGTCTGTGGAGATCAATGTGCAGCCTACCGTGTCAAGCAAACACGGGATATTCTTCTCGAAGGCGGAAGCTTGCAGAGAAAGATTTCGGATGAGGTTAATCATCTCGACGACTGCGAGTTTGATCAGACATCTTATGACCATCGAGCGATTGTGCGCCAGATCGCTTGTAAATATTGGTTGATTCAAGATTTATTTAGCTTCCGAGGAATCACTAGCCGTTCAAAGTCACGAAGCCCATTTTGAAACGACGAAGTTCTTTGTTTCTACTCCGGCTTGTACCTCAACTAGTTTGAGGTCACGAACGAGAATATCTATTGGATCATATACAGGTCTGATTTTGCCAAGGAACAAAATCCCCCATAGAAGAAAGAGAGAAGTTTACATTGTTCCATTGCGGCTTCTAGAAACTTATCTTTATTGGATGGGGTTGTTTCACTGCTTCAATCTTTTAAGTCGACCACCCTACTTTCGGGCCACCCCTGTTTTGGGCCACCCTTTTACACCAAAAATCGCTTTTTTAGTCTATTAATATCTCTATCAATATATAATCTAATTTAATAAAAATTTGAATATATATAATTTAAGTCATTTTAGGCTTATTCTGAAATTTTTAGATTTTTAGGATTTTTTTATATTGAGATCTAGAGCTTTAAAATATCGATTTTTTAATTTGTATAGGAATTACATATAAATTTAAAACTTTTATAAAAACTTTAATAACTTTTTAACAATAATTATTAAAAGAAAACTATATATCTTTTTGAAAGTTTTGAACTTAAATTTATATAGAAATTAAAAAAAAAATTAAAAAAAATTAACAGATATAGAGATATAGTATATAGTGAGTTTAGAATAGTTCAAATAATCCCTATAATTTTGAGGGTATTCTTTTAAATATTTATTTACAAGAAGTTTTCTATTTTTTTTAATCTTTTAAAGTAAATACACTATAAACTTATAATAAAACTTTTTAGGTTATTTTTAGCAATTTTTATTAAAAAGTTATTAAAGATTTTATAAAAGTTTTAAATTTATATGTGATTCTGTTACGACGGGTAACATTGGATCACGTGACGAGTGTCATGTGACAGGACGTTGGAGCCTTTGGAGCTTAGGATCCAAGGGATCCAAGTAGAACAGAACCATGGGTTTCGTAGAGCAGGAAGGTCTATATAAAGGAATGAGTTTCATTATAATGTAGAGCTTCGTGCTCAAGATCAATCATTAGTTTCATACTATAGTTACGAGAATTGCAACCAGTTACAACCTTATTGAATTCCTACTTGAAGTCTAGTCTAAACCACCTCGAGAGATCTCTAGACACTTCCACGTGACCCTAGAGGCAGCTCCCGTAACAGATTCTCATATAAATTTAAAAATCGATATTTTAAAGCTCTAGATTTCAATACAGAAAAATCCTAAAAATTTAAAAATTTCAGATTAGATTCAAAACGATCTGAATTATATATATATAAATTTTCAATAAATTCTATTCATAAATAAGAAAGTTAAAAATTCCATTTTTGGTGTAAAAAGTGGCCCGAAAGTAGGGTACCCGACTTAGATGAAGGGTGACATACGAAATCCAAGGTCAGAGCCGATAGAATGGATCTCCAAGTGCAGGCGGTATGGGTAATGAAAATTTAATCATCGGTGTGATCATCATTGTTGTTACGGTCATTGGGGGTGCAGTTGGCTTATTCGTATGGTAAGATTACCAATTACGGAGGTCAAGACTGTACAATGGAGAAATGCAGATGAACCCTCTACAAGAACGCCGTCCAGATGGTCGACGTGGACGAGTACATGAAGAAGATCGCCGCACACAAAATCCTAATCAAGGTAGCCCGGGTTTGGCCGACATTATTGGCAATTCACTTGACCGTCCTAGGGATAGAACAGAGAGTGATGATGGCCGAAGTCTAGCAGAAATTGTGATTCCACCACCCAACGACGTGGAAAGGTATGTTCAGCTCGTTTGAAGAAAGTGAAGAAACCAAATATCACCGAGGAACCTCAAGATGAGCCAATTACAGCTAATGCTGCAGATCGGTCATCAAATCGCGTTCGTCTATTTACTACACATGATGATCACTTTACAGTAGGAATTGGAGTAAAGGGCAACGGGAAACCAACCCCACAAAAGTTTCAAAGACCAGTCGTCTCTCCTGAGAACATGGATACTCTGCTCATTAAGGTCGAATCTACTCCAAGCTGGCTGTTCTCAAAAAGAGGGCAGTCTTGAATTGGAGTCTTGATCGATCGAACAAACAAAGATGGGGGCAGCTCCTTTGCTGATGAATCATGTCAATTTGTAATCTCGGGAAATAATAACTTTGAATTTACCGAACCCTGCATTAGCAATTGCTGTAAACAAAACAAGGGGAAATTGCTTGTGGATCGAAATGTAAGATTCTCCCCATAAATATCAATTTACAGTTGAGATATTGAAAAACATTTGGAGTATGGAAAATGATCAAGTCCGAACCTAGTGGATATTTGTCAGTGCAGAGAGGGCGGCTGTTTATACAGAATACATAATATCCTGAGGTGGCAGACTGGAGTTTCTTGTGATATTATCTCTCACTCCAATCATCGCGCAATATTTAGCGAAGGGGAGACAAATCACCTTGCTAAAATATGTCGAAACTTATTGTTATAACGAGTGTCACCGGTACCCAAGTGCTTATCCTACCAACTTCTGGATGTACGAATACTAATCAAAGATAGGGATCATCAATTGCCGAGACATTTCTCCGCTTCCCTGAATGGCGAGTTCGAGGCACAACACGCAATCCAGCAAGTGTAACTGCTCAAGCATTAGCAGAAAAAGGAGTCGAAATCGTTCAAGCGGACTTTGACGACAAGATATCACTATCTTCAGCTTTCCAAGGAGCTACTGTGATTTACTCCAATACCGATTTCTTCGTGCATCTCTTCACAGGAATATCCGAAGGCGCTCCTCTTGGCCGCACAGTCCTCGAACACGCATATGATCGGGAAATCGCTCAAGGTCTCAACATCGCAGAAGCAGCCGCTTCATCTAGCGTTCTTGAAACATTAGATTATTTCATATATTCCTCCTTGAGCGACGCAACGAAATGGAGTGGAGGCAAATATTCTACGGTATATCATTTTGACTCCAAAGCAGAAACGATCCGGCAGATTGAATCTCGATTTCCGGAGTTGGCGAAGAGAATGAGTACCCTCCAAATGGGATATTATGTCACGAATTGGAAAGCTTTCCCACCAATGGCACCACAGAAACAGGATGATGGGAGTTTTTTATTCGAGAGACCTTTGAGTCCGGATAGTGTGGTGCAGTTTGTGGTTACGCAGAGGGATACAGGAGCGTTTGTTAAAGCCTTGATTGAGATGCCGCCGGGCAAACATTTAATAGGTGTTTCGGAGAGAATGACTTGGAGAGAGTGGACGAAGATTTGGGGAGAGGTTTTGGGGGTTAAGGCGGGGTTCAAACGGGTTTCGGAAGAAGTTTTTTGGGAAGGGACACCGGATGCTATGTTATCGGAGTTGCAGGTTGCTTGGGATTACGCAGATGAGTTTGGTCATGCGGGTGGGGATTTGGATGTGCTGAGGCCAGAAGAGGTGAGTGTGATCCTGTCTTTGTGATATTGCTAGTGCTGATTTGTAATTTCTAGCTTTCGTTCAAGATTTCGCTCACGTCGATGGAGGAGTATATCAAGAGTGAAGATTGGTCAGCTGTTTTGAGTTCTTGAAGAAGAAACTCTCTATTCGCAGGAGCAATCAAATTTCCATATTCTATTGATCGAGAGGACTCAAGAGATATGAAATGTTTCGGAACAGTAATTTTATTATATAATTCAACTGGAACCATCTTCTTTCTGGCGATTCCCAAACCCTTCTTCCATTAACTTTCTTGTCTTGTCTTGTAACATGCAAGAAAATTCTAGGAGGCGTAGATAATAATGACTTGGGTTGAGATAGTAGTCCCGCTCCAGTTTGTAGTACTTCTCTTGCTATATTTCTTGGGTAGGTAGCTAAAGTCAAGAATTGACATCGGTGATTCAGTAGTCGAAGTATGATAATCCTATAACTAGCTTATTTTAATTTTTAAGGGTTTTTTGTGATACTATCGATTATTCGGACTTGATGAGTAGGAATGGGGTTGCAGTTTCGAGTAGTGCTCACGATAATTGGGAGGGGTGATGGAGTTGAGTTGGATAGACTATTGATTGGTGTGGTTTAGTTTGGAATGGAATGGATGGTGTGGAGTAGTAAGTTGTGGATTGGGTTGAGGGGGGTTAGATGGAGAGTTGGTGGGTTGGTGGGTTTGAAGGGTATTAAAAGGAGTAGTAGTAGTAGTAGTAGTAGTAGTAGTAAACTCTTAACTTAATTGATACAGCCCATCTATAGTTAATATTATATTAGCTATGCGATGCACCAATGTATGTCTCCTCGAATAACCTAAATGAAAAACATAAACCCCCACCCCTTGAATACCATCCGTCTGTTAGCATAAGGCTATCTGTCAAACACTTATAGTGCATAATAGGGACCTACGTATACTTTCGAAGATGAATATTATATTCCTTGAAGGCTTTTTTGGAAGTTGGTAATTTGATGGGTGATCTGCTGCCCATTTGCCCAGCCGCCGAAAAGGTATTTATTAGAATTCCTGGGTATCGGTCTTGATTCCAGATTTCTTTCGATTTTGTACGCTTAAGTATTCCAGGTTTTGATTTCATCAATAGTTCATCAATGTTTATTATTAATACGTAGTGATAGGCAATTTTAACTCAATTAACGCGTAAACTCTTGAGTAACCAAATAGCCTCTTCGAAGTAATAGCAGAAAGAATACGAAGCCCACATAATGTAAGTACAGATATCGACTTCACTGATCTCGAAAATGCAAGTTTTAGCTTGGCTATCTGTTGGTATCACCCTAGTATTAATTGTGTTGTTTTCATAGTAATGGGGTTGTTATGATTTTGTGTGATTGTCTATTCCAAGTTTAGAACTACAGATACAGAAGCTATCTGCTACATACGAATTGCATACATGAATACTCATTCGTATTGTAATAGTATCAGGGATATATGTCAGATTAGATAGATGGTTCCTCCAAGAAGGAATCATACTGAACACGAAACAATGAATCTGGATAATTGAATATCAAGATCAGCATTCTATCATACCAAAATATGCTCTAATACGGTTTATTCTGTATTCTCGCTTCGTTTGAGATTAGCCGCAGTAGCGAAGATTTATTACAATCCATCTATTCTATATAACCTACAACTATAACCAACCAAATACAAACTCACCCTTCATCACCATTCTCACACCATCATAATCTCAAATCTCAACACTCTACTTAATTTATCTGAACAACAAAATGTCCACCAATACCTCCCAGCTCCTGGATTCTCACGAATCAAGCCCAATATCCTACACCCCAGAAGATAGCGGCAGCGATACGAGTAATACCGGCACGCAGAGTCCTGTAGTCCTCGATACAGTTTCGAAGCTTCGTGTTCGGAATGCTGAGCTCCGGGATAAAAATACTGAGCTTCGTGCTCAAAACATCCAGCTCCAAGAAAAGAACACACAACTCCAGAACAAAAATACCCAACTGGAGGATAAAAATACCCAGCTCCAAAACAAAAATATAGACCTCCGCATTCAAAATGCTCAGCTACAAGCTGAAGTTGAAAAGCATATTGCTATTTCGAAAATGCGAGAGAGACTATTGCTGCCGGTGAAAGAGGTTCAACAGGATAAACAGGGGTGCAAATGGCATTTTTGGATTATTTGCGCTTTGATTATTTTTGTGCGTTGAGGATTCATACAGATTTAGCTAGGTATAGGGATATTTGAGGGATGAAGGGAGGAGAGGGGAGGTGTGTGGATTTTGGGAAGTTGATGCTGATTTTCGATTGGGTTGTTGGCTTATTTAATGTTCGGTTGGAGAGTTGATAGGATCAATTTTAGATTGATACGGGGATCAACTCAGTTTTGGCGAAAGTTTGTTCTGTTTGTTCTGTTTGTTAGGGTTGGGTTGGGTTGGATGGATATAAATGATGATTCATTTGGAGAAATGTTTTCTTTATTCGATATGTACTCGTAGCTTGTCAATCACAAGAAAAGTGATAGACTAGGCATCATAGATAGCTAATTATCATCTGTCTTTTCTCAACATATTCTTGATGCTAGAGGAATAATGAGTTTATTTGTATGATTGGTCACAATTTGTGTAGTATATTGCAAGTTTATATGAAGACGATGGTGTTATATGCGTGTGAGTATGACACTATAACATGATATTCAATGGCACTATGAATTTGGTACTTTAGCAGCAAGATATTGAGAGCAGATAGGGGAATAGGGGGTGCTGGATTGAGCCATCTTTGATCTTAATGAAAGATCGTTGAGCGATTTAAACGGCCATTAGAATTTTTTAACCATGGTTGGATAATCTCAAAAGATAAAATCGAGATTCTTTGATCTTTTATGTCACTTAAGGATGACCAATAATGATTCAGTACAACGAGGTTGATACATCATCCTCAAGTGTCCCTTTGAGGGATCACAGCCTGTGTCTTTCCTGATCTCCATGTGACATGACTGCTCGATTCCCCTGAGACAGTTCTTTTTGTCAGGATAGTGACATGTTCGTGAGCCTCGCAGGTGAAGTTCCAGCATTTAATTGTCTTCAGAATGTCATTAGACTTGCGTAGAAATTGGTTGTTTTTCGAGGAGGCAAATAAAGACTCAAAGTTGTGAAATATTACTGCCAGAGAAAAACAAACAAGCTTATTTGTTGATTGTTAAAGGAAATCTCACCTACATATTGATCTCAACACATGGTGGGAAAGTTATGTGACTGATCCAAATCGTCGTCTTCTTCAGCATACCAGCCTTGAGGTATCGTCCCTTCGAGCATCCGCAATCTGATGCCGCCTCAATTTGAAGTTATTCGGCATTGGATACTGAACAGCTTAGGATTTGATGTCAGTTTCAACTGACTGGTACCAATCTGGTCTCGTTTCGAACTTATATTCTCTGGTATCATTCAAGTAGGTATCCGTTGGGGTCTACCTCGAAAGCTTACGGAGAACAGTGAAGAAACGGCGCGGCATGCCAATCACACGAATGATGAGGAATTTGATGGCAATAACTTAATCAGCGTGATGGACAGTCGAAGACATAGCAGTTCAGATAGCGCTAGTTCAACGACTACAGCGGGTACAAACCACAAATCGGCACTCACATTAGCAAAAGAGCTATTGACCATTCTAGAACAAGGAAATTGAGCCCCGAGAACAGACGGGATAGATCCCACGGCCTCAGGCGATACTGAATAGACAACCCATACGGATCAAGATACGAAAATACGTTGCACATGTCAGCCTTCTATTCTTTGGGCCGATCTCAAAATCGCTTCAGTTTGCTAACATCATCTCTTGTCGAGATTAATACCTTGGCAGCAAGTTGTTCCTCTAAGAAACGAGAAGAATATCGACAAAAAGCTCTCGAGGACTTCAACGTTGTTTTTGGGATTAATTATTGCAAAAGATTGGAGGAGATTTACGAAAGTCCTGGAGGTTCAAATGCTTCGCTGAGTGAGACAAGCATTCAAGAATTTCATTCACCTGGGAGGAGGAGATAAGGATAAATTCTTTTTTACTTCCATTTGTTCTAGAATTTAAACAAAGGGACACACAACAGAGAAATTTTCATTAGATGCATCAATGCTGAAAAATGTTCTTGAAGTTGCGTAGATATAGAGTATCTTGAGGATTCCACCAGAAGCTTCGATTTATAGGGCATTCAGTGTGTACTAGTCACTGCTGGAAGGAAGAGAATTTGAAGGAAAGATGTGTATTGTTTTGTAAATCCTTCCAACAACTTGCAGGACAAGAGCAAAAACTGATTTAAGAAGACAGCAGTCAGCTATTCAGATTTCTTATTTATATTCTCAAAACCAAAATGCCAACCGGAATGTCCGATTTAAGCAGGAAACACGCTGTCGTCCTGTCTTTCGGACTAGGAATAGCCTCCACCATTGCCTCGAATTTTATCCTCACTCGCGTTTCCACTCGCGAGTTGTCTCAAAGTGCCCATGAGAGAAGTAGAAAGAGGACCGAAGATAACGCAGGTGACGAGCATCAAAAGGACCGTTCAAGAAGCCGCAGCAGTGAATCGACGATTCGCCAACATGAAGGCCTGGATATATCTTGTACATGTCTACCAGTCGGTTCCGAGAAGATCAACTTCCAAGAAGTCAAAGAGATCATTTCAGCATTTGAAGAGGCAGGCGAAACTGACTGTAATGGATCTCAACGACGCGTATATCGGAACATGATAATCGGAAGGTTCCGTTCGGGTATCGAGAAATTGTCTTGTGAGACACTCCAAGAGATTTACGAAAGCATCATTGAGAAGACTTGCCAGAAGAACGGAGCACGAATAAGCAAATCGCAGTGAGGAGATAGATGGGAGAGAAGCTGAGATGTTCCATATGCAGCCGAGGATCATGTACATTGTGAAACGTCCTGCACTAGCTGGTCTAACTTACTTGTTAGTGAGCAGGAAAGAAGTGAAGAGGTGCAGAAGAATAGCAGGTTGCCAGAGTAAACACTCCTAGAGGAAATAAAAATAAATCCATACTAGATAAACATATTGAGCAAGTAGAGAGTGTTCATTCAAAAATTTCTTCAGTAGCCCATGAAGCGTGAATCAATGATGAATCTAGAAGTTTCATTTCAAGAGCTCACTAAGAACCCATTATATTGATTTCAGACAGAAATCACTTGAGCTATCAAATTTCCAATCCACAAGATCGTCTTGTTCCCAGTCGATGAAGATTCATGTCTGTTCTATGAAAAAAAAAGGATGCAGGAAAGAAGCCGCCCGCACACATTCTGATAAGTAGAAAGGATTCACCGCCATCGTGGCAGAATTTTGGAGAATTTTGGAGAAATTTCGCAAAACTTCCCATCTATCTCCAGAGTGATCCACTGGAATATATTCACGACAGTCATGGTATTTTGTCTTGGATATTTCTGATATCAAACTTCTTACATAAACATGCAGATATTGATCAAAATCTGTCAACATCAATGTCTTCTTTCAAGGTTAGCAACGGCTTCAACAATGCTAAAACTCGACATGAACACCAGCTCACCTGCTTCAATATAGCATAACCACTCATTGAGCCCAATTCTGGCAGTCGAATTTTACCATACTTCTACTGGTAAATTGTTGATTCTTGCGGCTGAGGGTTATTTTCTAAAGATATATGATGCCAAAACTTCCAGCCAGATTGGTCAATGTAGAGTCTTCGACTCACAGGCGATTCACGGTATCATTATCAGAGAATCGAAGAATAATTCCATAGACGATTTACAGGTAGTTATTTGGGGTGGTCAATGTTTGACCTTACTCCGAAAATCGCAACTTGAAGAGATCATATCTCAATATGTGACTAGTATCACGAAAACTGCGACAGCAGCCAGTGACTGGGTTCTCAGTGTTGCTTTTTGTCCTTGGGAAAATGATGGCTGTGTCATGGTCACTGCTCACAATGCAATGGTTCAAGCGACGCTCTCAACAGAAGACAAAACCATAAGATTGCGTCAACTGCAGCCTTCTTCGCGATCTATGTTGTACTCTGCAAGTCTCGTTTGCGAGAACCAAGATACGGTCATAGTTGCAGCAGGAACTATCTTCGGTGAGGTCATTGTTTGGAAATGTGTTGCTGCTGAAGATAACTCCGCATTCCACAATGAAGCACTTTTCGTTTTCACTGGTCACGAGGGTTCCATTTTTGGGGTTGATATATCTCCTCCGATCATGGGCCATGATGGAAAGACTACACAATTGCTAGCAAGCTGTAGCGATGATCGTACAATACGGATATGGAATCTTGCGGAAGGCTCACAAAATGATGCAGATGCCATGAAGTTAGCTGCCGACTTGTTGCCAAGAGAGACAGGCTTTGGAGAGACAGCAAAACCTCAACAAGACTCCAATGGCTTCAACCGATGTATTGCGGTAACAATGGGTCATGCTTCTCGTATATGGGGTGTCAAATTTCACTGTCCTGATAAATCAACATTTGGCACCTCGTCAATCACCATTCTTTCTTTTGGAGAAGATTCAACAGCTCAACAATGGATACTAGAGCTTGAGAGTGAGCTTCAAAATGGAAGCAAAACCTCTGAAGTTTTAGACCCTGCTGTTTCCAAACCTAGCTCAAATAGTCTTGCTAAGTTAACAAACATCAAAACTTTTGCATTCCACACTGGAAAGCACATTTGGTCAGCAGCTATTACTCAAATGGAAAACAATCAAACTTTGCTTGTCACTGGTGGAGCAGATGGAAAAATTTCAACATACTGTTTTGAAGAGGAGAGAAGGACAAATCCAAAGCCTATTGATAAGTTGAGCAATAATGCCGTGGAAGACTCAGCAATGGACAATTCTGTCGAAGGTTCATATTACTCGGTAGCTTTTGAGCTCGAAGATGTGTTGAAGTCTCTTAATTCGACGGAATCCTATTATGAGGAGGAACAAGATCAAGAATACGTCGTATCAAAGAAGAACAAAAAGGTGCCCAAAGATGCTTTCAATCGCTATGCATTCGTATCTGAGAGTGATTTTCTGATCACGACAACATTCGGAAGAATTCTGAAGGCGACTGTTGGAAACTTGGTCAAGTTCGAAGAAGTTTCCCTACCCGAATCCAGTACTCAAGATCTGAGATCATATTCTATTCTGAAGGGAAACTCAACTCTCGGATTATGTGTTTTGGCGGGTACTAACGGGAAAATATTCTTGTATCAACCAGGACTGCCCATTGTCCAAGTAGGACAAGTTGAGCGAAAACCATCGGATATTTTCATCGTCCCAGGAAATGATAATCGATCAGTCGAATTATTTGTTACGTTATTGGGAACCCAAGAACTGACAATATTCTCTTTCAATCTGGAATCTTCCGGGTTACAACCTTTTATCGACAGAAGGACGCTCTCATTACCCCCGAAATTTATAGTCACAGGTGCTGGTACATGTAACAGCCATCTCATCATTGGCTCTAGAGAAGGTCAAATCTTGGTACACGACACGAAAACCAATACTATGAGTATCTGGAACTCCCCCGGTAAGAAGGATGCTATTACTTCCATTGTTGCTGTACCCAGTACCAATTCTCAGCAAACCACAAGCTATTTCGCAATCACGAGTCGAGATGGGTTATATGCGATATTTTCATACAACGATGAAGACACGCCTGAAATTTCACGCGTACATTCTGCTGCACCACCATTCGGACCAATGATTGAAGCATGTTGGTTTCAAGGTTCTGATCTAATTCTATATGGATTCAAAAGCAAGAGTCTCATCGTATGGAACGAGACGAAACAATCTGAGATTATGCGTATCGACTGCGGAGGTGCACATCGAGCTTTTGCATATTCGCCGTTCGAAGGGGCTCAGGCAGGTGGTAGTGGTCACTTGATATATACAAAAGCATCACAACTATTCCTTCATTCCCAAAAAGTTCCTTCTCATCGTACCATTAAAACCGGCGGCCACGGGCGGGAAATAAAAACTTGTGCAATGGGAGGCTCACCACAAATGATAGCCACCGGCGCCGAAGATACCAATATCCGAATCTGGCGCTACGAGAACAACGACACCCATCCCCAAAACCAGGATAAAACCCCCAACTCACAAACCCTGACCTGCCTCTCTACCATTCAAAAACACACAGCAGGTCTCCAACACCTTCACTGGCACAAATCACACTATCTCTTCAGCAGCGGCGGCGTCGAAGAATTCTACATCTGGCGCATCCGACCGATCCCCGGCTTCGGTCTCGGAGTCATCTGCGAAGCGTCCTGTCCCGATCCCACTGCTGAACAAGACTTACGTATTATGTCTTTCGACGTATCTGATATTCCTGGAAGCGATCACGAAGAAATGATCATCACGCTTGTGTATTCGGATTCGACTATGCGTACTTATCTTTATTCGCGAATCGGTGGATGGAAATTACTAGTCAGGGGTCAATATACATCTGCGTGTTTGATGCAAATCGCCCATCTACACGTTTCTCGCGAACATATCACTTTCCTGACTGCGGCTACGGATGGAAGTCTCTGTATCTGGAACGCTCCTCTCCATATTTCCAATCACGATCTCGCACAAATCTCCACCCCCGCCCTCACATCCCACACCAAAATCCATCAAAACGCCATCAAAACCCTCGCGTTCAAATACATCTCTTCTTCCTCTTCTTCCGCATCTACTTCTAACACCACCACTCCATACCTAGTGATCATCACCGGCGGCGACGATAACGCAATCGGTGTGACGCTCTATCCCATCTCTATCTCCTCTTCTGACCTCAATGCAAAGTCAAATACTTTCCAGAACCCAATAAGGATTCTCCTTCCTAACGCGCACGCTGCCGCTGTCACGGGATTGGTGTTTATTCCCGATCCTACTTCTCGTTCTCGTTCTGCATTTATTACCAAAGAAGGGGAAAAGGAGGAACAGGAGGAAAGAGAAATGTACATCTTATCCTCTAGTACCGATCAGCGGGTAAAGACGTGGCGAATCAGTGTCTCTTCTTCACCATCTTCTTCTCCTTCTACATCTACATCTACATCCACAGCCCCAAGTCGAGAAGAAGAAGAAGAAACATGTCCGATAGACATCGAGATGATCGGTGACGAATTTACAGCGGTAAGTGATATCGGGGATGTGAGATTAATTCCTGGGATTGCTGGGAATGAGCATGAGAATGAGAATGGGAATGGGACAAAAGCGATTATTGTAGGGAATGGAATGGAGATATGGGGATTTGGTGAGATGAGGTAGAGGTTTGAGATTAAGATTAGGAATGATGGACGGGAAGGATAGTGTAGCATGGGACAGCAAAGTATGATATGATATCATGCAAAAATAGATATGAAAAAGGAAAAAGATTCTTCAAGAATTCATTAAATCATTATTCTAAAAAGCGACTAAGAGAGCTAACTATGATAAATGCCAATCAATTAAGTAGCCATTCTACTCCTCTTCCTCCATGCTTTAATTTCCTTCAGCACATTCATAACCAGCGGTACACCCACTGGCCCCAACAATGGCATGTAAACCGCGACTTTATGTTCGTCTGGGAAATAGACCTGGCCCACCATACTCTTTTCGAAGAATGCTTTCTCTGCCGCCTCTTCCGCGATACGTGCATGAACTAATCCATCATTACCTCCTAGACCATCACATGCTTTTCTGAGATGTTCGATGGTTGTGTAGACGCCATCTTGCACGGATTCGGGTATACTGATCGAAGGGAGCGCTTTAGTTAATCGCGCTAGACTTCCTAGTGTTCCGCTTGCTTTCAGGAGAAGACCTGCGCTACGCACGCGCACTAGTGTCATGAGGCGTAGAGGAAGAGATCCGGTTTCGGGGGCACCCATTAGGGACATTAGTTGATTTGAAAAAGTAAGCATTGCGGGGCGTAAATCTGAGATATTAGATTGAATTACTACGCCACCCCATTGAGGGATCAACCAGCTCTTGCCACCTCCTTCGACTTCCATATCGCCTGCATAGAGAATGAAATTGATTGTTGGGGCGCCGCCAATGCTCGGACTTAGGGGCCATTCTGCGGCATTGATGAAACCACTTAGATCTTCTTTTCGTAAGACATTCCCGCTAACACCGGGGGTGGCGTATAGTTGGACTTGGGTATCGATTGTGAAATTGCTGATTGCAGTGAAGCTTTCCAGTAATGGTTTCATATGTTCTTCTAGCGCAGCTTCAATATCCCAAGACGAAGGGGTGGCAGTTGGAGTAAAGAGGGAGAAAGTCAAGTGATAAGTTCCAGAGTATTTTAATGAACGCGTCGTCCATTTGGCTAGAGTATCTGCCACTTCTGGCGCCAATGCTTTTGGACTTCTTTCTGGTGGGGCGGAACTGGTAGAAAGTAGATATGCAATCATAGCTTGTTCTTCGGCGAACACGCCCCTCAATGTATTCGCAATATACGTCGCTAAAGAAGATGATGATGATGAACTTGAAGGGATTTGATTTGGAGGATAGTAGATATCTAAAATGGGCGCATATGCTTGTAGATTCGCTGATGATGCTGTTCCAGGTAAAAGTCTAATAGTCAAAGCAACATCCTCTCCGATCCCCCCATGTGAAAATCCATTTATAGTCGCGGAAGCATTGCTGGACGGGGAGAGTTGTAATCGTAAATGGTGTGCGGAGAAATCGTTCAAATCATCCAAAGCATGTTGTGTGGTCCGTAGAAGATTTTGAGCTTCATTCTCTTGTAATGATTCGGCTTCTATTGAGATTGTGAGTGGAAATACTGGTCGACATGCCTACGTTCTTCGATTAGTTTAAGCTATCTATGTAGATGATATTAACAAACCCTTCCTTCAGCCCAATCTGTCATCTGATCTAATGGTAATGGCGCTCTATAAATTGTAGTTGTCCTCCACCATATTGGCACACCAAGGAGTAATATAATAGCCCAGAATGAAATTAAAACTTGGATTCGCATGCGAGCATTTTCGGGCTTCTCAGGAGGTGGTTCCTTTCTTTTCTTCACTGCTGTCACCACATTTTCGGGTGGTTTATCATCAAAGATTTTCACATCTTCATCTATATTGGCTGTCGGACCTGAGGATGCAGGTTCATTTGTTGATATTGACATTATGAAGTATAGATGTCCATGTGTTCACCAGTAGGTAGCTAGGTATGGATTGATATCGATGGGAAGTTCCGAGTTGTGCAAGTTTTAGCGATAAGAAGGCTGACATGGAATGAAATGGCAAGGCTGGATTGAAGTGACAAGGCTGAACCGTTACTTCCATTAAAATAAAGCGCGAGCCCGATAAAGTTAAAGTTTCGTTCTAATAAGTTCTAAGCCTCTAATAGCGGGGACCAGCATAACACTTTTTCACTAATACTACCTAGGCACGTGCTAGACAGTCCACGACCCCTACTCTCTGGTATTCAAGGGGGTTTTCCGTCATATGTCAAACTTCGTTTGGTAAGAGATGCGAAGATCCCTTAAAAACCGTTAATTGATCAGGTTTTGATTTACGGAGTATCCAACCAAATACATGAAATCAATTAATAGTGAATCCACCATCGAGGGTCTCTCATGTCATCCGTCCATATCATATCCATCTACGAAGTATATCCATCCATATCCATCCATATCCATACGATGTCCAGTACGAAGTACACAAGGACTACACCCATACAAACGAATCAAGAGAACGGGGAAGATATCTTTCTGTGAACTCCAACTGAATCGCATAAATCGCCAAGTTGTGCTGTGATTGGTCGGAAGAGGAAGGAAAACACGGTACAATGACCCTCGAATCCTGACTCTGCACTGAATATTATCGTCGGATATGGAACCTCTTTCGCATCATCTGCAGCTTATTCGTTCCAGTGTTCCGAGTGTAATGCCTCAGAAGAAGCCATTCTCCGTGCCGAGGTATGTGTCACCATCTGAGGAATGAGAGTCCCCAAAAAGGGTCCAACGGCGAGATGTACGCATGCATATTACCCAGACTTCGCCCATATTAATACATGTACGGTAAGTTTCCAAGGTACAGTATTTCTCAACTATCTTACCTGCTGTCGTCCCTCTCTTCATCCAAGATACTTTCTTCGTCTTGAATCCACCCTGTGAATTCATGAATCTGGGGTTTTATTACTGCATGAATATCGAATCTCTTATCTAGGCAATCAATCTTACAGGATTGCTACCCTATCTTCACTTGAAAGCTGGACTGTCTCTTGAGCAGCCAAAGGTTAATTGACTACCAGATCCCGTATTTCTACGGAGCTCCAACAGTGTTCATCTGACGGCTGTAAATACTTCTACCACATTGTTATCAAAATGCCAAGTCAGTTCACATCGCTCCGGCCAACAGAATGAGTTCGGAATACTAACAATTCAATAGTCCCATTAGCTTTAGCAGCTTCAGCAGCTTCAGCAGCTTTAGCTGGTTTGGCATACGCTAATGCGAAACTTTCTTTAAGCTACGATTATCAATTATTGGGTGCCGCATTGAAAGCATACTCCGTTACCAGTAGAAGAGAAAAGGATGATCGCCTCAATATGTTTTACATACTCGAAGAGCATGCGAAAGGAAAATTCGCAAACGATACATTCATGATATTCGAAGGCAAGAAATGGACATTCAAGGAGACGTACGATATGGTCTTGAAATATGGAACATGGTTGAAGAATACCCATGATGTTAAGCCGGAGGAAATTGTTGCTATGGATTTCACCAATTCAGATAATTACTTCTTTCTATGGTTTGGATTATGGAGTATAGGTGCCAAACCAGCCTTCATTAACTACAACTTGACAGGCAAAGCATTATCCCATTGTGTCAAAGTCTCCACTGCAAGGTTATGTATCGTGGATCCAATGGTCGAAGAGAAATTGACGCAGGAAGTTCGGGATGAGCTTCCGGATATCTCATTTCAAATTCTTACTCCCGATGTAGAGGCTACGATCATTTCCACTGAAGGTGTTCGAGAGCCGGATTCTACTAGATCTAAGCAAACAAAGTCAATGATCGGAATGTTGATATACACTAGTGGTACTACAGGTTTACCTAAACCCGCAGTCCTGGCTTGGGGAAAGGCAAACTTCGGATCGACTATCATGCCGAAATGGAGTGGATACAAACGACCTGATGTCTTGTACACTGTGCGTCTACCCCTTCTTCTTTTGCATGTTAAAATGCTAATTTCTGTTAGTGCATGCCTATGTACCATTCTGCTGCTAGTGTTCTTGCTGTTTTAGCAGCTTTGGACATGGGTGCAACAATATGTATCGGCAGGAAATTTTCCACAAAAACGTTTTGGAAGGATGTTCGAGAATCCAATGCGAATGTTATTCAATATGTGGGGGAAGTTTGTCGTTACCTCTTATCCGCACCTCCTCAATACGATTCTGTGACAGGCGAGAACCTAGATAAGAAAAATAATGTTAGGATGGCATTTGGTAATGGCCTAAGACCTGATGTATGGAACAAATTCAAGGAGCGATTTGACATCAAAACTATCGCCGAGTTTTACTCCGCTACTGAAGGTGCAGGAGCTGGTTGGAACTATTCTAATAACGAGTTTAGCAGGGGCGCAGTAGGTCGTAACGGATTTATTTACTGGCTCGTATTGAGGAAAAGTTGGGCCGTCGTCGAATTGGACGTTGAAACCGAACAACCCTATCGATCGAAAAGTACCGGATTTTGCACCAAAGTACCCTATGGAACTCCAGGAGAAATGCTGTACAAACTTGATCCCGCCGATATAAGTGCAGGGTATCAAGGGTATTTTAACAATGAAAGCGCCTCCGATAGTAAAGTATTACGAAACGTTTTCGAAAAGGGTGATGCATGGTTCCGAACAGGCGATATTATGACCTGGGAGAATGGTGAAAATGTCTTCTTCAATGATCGAATCGGTGATACATTCCGATGGAAATCAGAGAATGTATCAACAAATGAAGTCGCAGAAGCGTTATCCTCTCATCCGGCTATTCAGGAGGCAAATGTCTATGGAGTTTCCCTGCCCCATCATGATGGACGAGTAGGTTGTGCAGCTGTGATTCTAAAAGATCACAATCCGAATATTCTGAGGGATTTGGCGATCCATGCAAAAAAGTCACTGCCGAGTTATGCGGTCCCGGTGTTTTTGAGAGTTAAGAGAGAGGGAGAGGAGATGGAGATTACGGGAACGGTAAAGATGGTTAAACATGTGATTCGGAAACAGGGGGTGGATCCGAAGGCGATGGAGGAGAGTGGTGATCAGATGTGGTGGTTGAGGGGGGATGAATATGTCAAGTTTGGAGAGAAGGAGTGGAATGAATTGAATGGGGGGAAGGTTAAACTTTAGGAGGGTTTTTTGTTTTAAGCTGCGAGTTTTGGATTTTGGGATGCGTACAGGCGTTTGAGTGATGGGATGGGGTTGGAGTTAGAATCGGATCAATGGGAATGGGCTCAGCAGTGGTTGCACGGATTCACAGACAGCTTGTAAGTAAAGCACAATTTCACACTAAAAAAGGCGATTTTGATAATTCAATTAAAATTTTATTTATTGATAGATGTGTTTAAAAACAAGACGTATAATTCTGAAGCATAAGCATTCTAGATGAAGAGAAAATTGAATTAAAAGAAATTGAAATTGAGGTTTCTATGATCAAATATGTAATTTCCCACCAAAATATTTTGGTGAGAAGGTGTAATATTGATATTTTTGAGCTCAAATCCGATTTTTTTGTGTTTAATCTGAATTATACTATTTTCCAATGCTTAATAAAATCGAGATATCATTTTAAATAGAATTTGACTGAGTTCTGAGTTTTGATTGAATTTTGAAGTTGTTGAATTTTGGTGTGAAATTGTGCTTTTTTCATAAGTGTCCTGTGAATCCGTGCACCCACTGGTAGGTTGATGTTCGGTGTTGGACAGGAACTGCTTGTTCTTACTGCATGCACTGTTTGATGCGGAAGAGCGAGGAAGATTTATGGAAATTTGGGTTATCTAATATATGCGTTGTGCGAATGACAAGTAGTTCCGACCGAGATCACGAGAAATTATGTTCAGACCTCATCGTTGAAGGTTAATGTTAATTATGTTTGTCTATACGAGTATCGGCTTGAAAGTTGATATTATCAATGCGTTCCCTGTTGAGATGATTACCCATAACAATAACTAGGATGGGAAAATACATAGGGGAAAGAGAAAGAGATGGAGAAGGAAAGGAAAGGAAAGGAAAGGAAAGGAAAGGAAAGGAAAGGAAAGGAAAGGAAAGGAAAGGAAAGGAAAGGAAAGGAAAGGAAAGGAAAGGAAAGGAAAGGAAAGGAAAGGAAAGGAAAGGGAAAAGAAAACCAAAAGAAATCAGTTTTGCCAGTATTCGCACACGGTTCGGAAACCCAAATCTCTTCGCTAATTCCCCTCAGCCATTATGATCTGTTACTTGACAGAACTAGATTCTCAGACCCAAATATTAGATTTTGTTACTAACCCTGCTTCCAATCCAATCCACCCCTCCCACACAAAACTACCCATCCAACCCTCACCCTCACCCTCACCCTCACCCCGTCCCCCTCACCCCGTCCCCCTTAACCACCCCCCTTTTTTCCACTTGGACCCCTCCCTCCCATACACCAACCTATCCCTTATTTCCTCATCCTCCACCCCCTTCAGCAACTCTTCCAACACCCGAAAATCAATCGGTTTGAGAATCCAGCCGTCAAAACCGCAATTTACATATTCATCTCTTTTTGATTCTTCCAGAGAAGCCGAGACGGCGATGATGGGGAGACGGCCGTAGATTTTTGCTCGTGGGGAAAGGGGAAGGGAGGGGAGTGTGCTGGAGCTGGTACTGGTGGTGTTGATGGTGCTGAAGAAGGAGCGAATGCGGGTTGTGGAAAGGAAACCGTTGAGGATGGGCATCTAGGGTGGGAAGGGAAAGTTAGTTGGGTTGGGTTTATTGGGGGGAGAAGACGAACCTGTATATCCATCAAAACAATATCAAAACCATCGGGTGTCGCCATCACCGCCTCCGCACACGCTTGCCCATTAATCTTCACCGTAACCACATGTCCTCTTTTTCTAAGCCGTTCTTCCAACAGTCGACTATTCAGCGGATTATCTTCTGCGACGAGGACATTGAGATTGCGGATCTCGGGTTGGGGAGGCAACTCCATGATAGGGAAGGGATATTGCAGTTGGTAATCGGGATTGGTGGTTACGGATTTAGTGGAGAGGGAGAGAGAGCGAGAGAGAGAGGAGTGCGAGCAGGTGCAGGGTGTGGGAATTGAGGTGGGGGAATCGATGACTTCGGTTGTAGAGGTGAGGAAGGGGTCTTTGATGGGGGTGGGAGGAGGGACTTGGAAGTTTTCGGGGGTATCGCATTGGATACCATTTTCGGAAATGGGACTTTCGGTGCTGAGGGATGGAGCGGAAGCATCTACGCGGGGAGCTCTGGCGGTAAAGTGATGTCCCCCTTCGGATTTGCGGAACGGGATTGAAATTGTGACGGTGGTTCCGTGGCCGGATTGGGTGTTAATTACTATTTTGCCGTCGTTGAGTCGGACGAATCGGGCTGCGACGGCGAGACCGAGACCGATGGAGGATTTTTCTTCGTTGAGACATGGTGCTTCGTCTACATCCTCGTCGTCGTCGAGGACTTTTTCAAAGTCTTGGAATATACCGTCAAGTTCGGGTCTAGGGAGATGAAGAATTAGTCTTTCGTCGTAAGGAAAGTTGAGCATTATAATTTCCATGATTAGAAACTTACTCGGTAAATCCAGACCCATTGTCGGTAAAGAACATCTCGACTCGGGTCTTATCATCATCTGATTCAACATTTTTCAACCCAACAACCACATCACCAGCAGTTGAGTGTTTCACGGTGTTTGATAGTAAATTAGTAATCGTTTGTCTCAAACGCACGCCATCACATTTTACCACGGGAGGAGTATCCGTACTTTCGGCAAATCTGATATTTAGGCTCTTCTTTTGACATTCATCACCGAAATCATTGATAACATCGCTCATCATTTCTGCCAAAACAACATTATCATGGGACATTTCAGGATCTTCTCCTTCTGCTTCTGTCAAATTGAGAAGATCATTTACAACAAAGATAAGTGATCTTGATGCACCTAAAGACTTCTCTAGGTGTAGACGGGCTTGGTCGTCGAGAACTTCTTCGAGTGCTATTTCGAGATAGCCAATTATAGCATTTAAAGGGTTTCGAACTTGAAGATATCAGTAATACTCAGAGGCTTCCATATTTTGAACACGTACCTTCAGCTCCAGCTTGTCTGATCAACAATCGTGTCATCCGGTTTTGTTGCACAATAGCCTCTTTTTGTCTCCAGACTTCAATGAACCTTCCATACAATGCACTTAAGACGCCTGCGGACTCAACTGAGAAAGTTCAGATTAGACATCATCAGACAGAATTAGGATAAACCAACCTTGTTCTCGTGTCCATTCTCGACTAGTGCCTATCACATGCTGGCTCCATCTTTTGAAACTTGCCCTCGGCTCAAGATATTGTGTGCCAGGCTTATATATTTTCTCATTTGGATTTCCAGCCCACTTGACCTCTTTCAGTTGTCCCTTACGAAAAAAGACTAGAAAATCTGATCCTGACAAAGACAATGGAATCACAAGGAATCCTGAAATCAAAACAAAATGCGCGGGAAACATGATATCAGTACAGTCCGCAGAAATGTTCTGAGTGTGGAAGACAAATGTATGCGACTTCTTGCGAATATATTGAAGCAGAGAGATACTTTCATTATATGCATACAAGCGCCCGATTGTTCTTGCTTCATCTTTGATGGCCAAGAACCCAAAATCTGCTTCAAACATTTGCAATAAATCTCTGGATGAAGCAGCAACATATTGTGATGGCGAGGTTTTAGGTGGTGCTTTTCCCAAATGCCGTCGTGCTTGTATCCGAGAGAGGTAGATTAATTTCTCAATGTTGTTGCTTGTACAGTCTCCTAGACTTCGGCAAAGCTCCCTCATTGGGAATGAAACCCTTTTGCCTTCCAGACCATAATCATGACAAGAGATCAAACCCCATAATCGACCTTCCACAATCAAAGAGATGGAGAATGAAGCCCGTACACCCATATTTTTTAGATATTTGATGTGAACGGGTGACATGGCCCTTAAATATGCTGATGAGAGGTTGAGACTTTTAGGATTATATTCCTTGGTTGAAGACATAAGCCTGGCTGTCTTTTCAGTTCGATCGTAGAGTAACCTGATTTTGTTGAGCGCATAGAGTTGCCGAGCCTGGATCGGAATATCGGTATTCGGAAACTTGAGGCCACGATAGAGGTCCAACGATGCTCTTTCATCAATGTACTCTGCTCTAACCAACCCTGCGTCATCTTCATCAAATTGATAAGCCATAACTCGGTGAAACCCAGTCAGATCAAAGACAAGACCAACAACTATGTCGAGTAGAGATGATATTGAAGTGGCTGAATTCAGCTGCTCCTGAACTTCACAGCCAAGATGAAACATTTCCATCTCGCCGAGTCTGTTCTTGGTCCTTTGTATCGTGCGAAATGGCTCACTATATTTTGTCGTCGATATGATTCGCTCCTCTTCTGTAGCTTGATTATCGATAATATTGACCTGTTCTCCAGGCAGATTCCAATTCTCCGGAGGAACGTCGGTCATCAAATCATTCTTCGCCTCAAATTCGCATATGAATAAGCCCGCATCCTCACGAAAATTTAAAGCGCAGTACATAGGAATATAAGGAATTGACTCCAGTATCGTCGTAAAAATATCTGGATATGCTTTGAGATGTTCCTTTTGATGCCAGAGCTTTCTGGATTCAATTCGGGCTCTAAAGTCCAATTCGTACACTGGACTTAGCAATTGAGTGAAGCAAGGAAGTGCGAAAAGATCTTCGGGCTTGCGGCCAATGATACTTTCTGAGTTCTCACTTGCGATTCGGACCAAGAACCGACCGTCGTCTTTTTCCTCGAGAGCTAATAATGCACCGAAGCTTTGAATAGATCCAGGAATTTGAATGGGCTCATCTTCACAACGACGAACAATCTCATTAATAGCATGATTGGGAGTGGGCTTACTGTCAGAGATCAGATGATGGGTTGAAGTTGTGATGAAAGTGTGTTGAGAGGGCGATAATGGCTGGCAGGATTCTGCTAAAACCACATTTGGGTGCCTTTGATTAATGCAACCTTCAGTCTCGGGTGCTTCAACAGGAACATTTGTAGAAGCCGTATCATCTGGCACTTCCTGAGCTTTTGCAACGCCAGAGTCATGGGATTTTTTGTCGACTACTATGTTCGTCGTTAATTAACATTCTAACCAAGACCTGGATGGCCGATCTCTACCTGAATCTGTTTCGATACGGATAGGAAACACCCTCTCAATTCTGAGTGATCCATCCGCATGCTTCTGCCCATTTTTAATGATGCCAATCTTTCCTGAGCCATTGACTACGACAGGCGAAGGTTGCTGCGTCATGTCGAACTAATCCAGTTGCTGACCCAAAAATAGATACTTTTGAGACTATCGCGGACATAGGTATTGTTTCGAAGCATTCAAGTATTCAGTAAATGGTCATCAGATGTGATTTGTCATGATCGCGATTATGCTTTCTTTATATCTACCGTATCCGCACATGCGTTGTTGGGGGAGAAGAACAAACCATCTTGGCGGCCGAACAAAATGGCGTTCTATGATTTTCAACATCATATATTCGAGACCATACTAGTGAATAACAAAGGAATTTTCAAGACTCGAATGTTCAGTAATCCTCGATTTTCACAGGGATAAATCATTCTCGTGAAAATCTACTCGAGGAAAGGGAAAAAGAATGGCAATGAAAGATCCATAGAGACGACTTCGGCGTGCAAGTGAATCAAGACATATTGCCAAACTTCTATGAAGGGAGCAATGAGGGCCGTGTCCAGTCACCAAAGATGACACTCGTGTTTTGCGAAGAATCGATAGGCAGCCACTCTACCCCGATGTGCAAACTGTAAACACACCAATCATCTTCAGGATGTAACTTGATGACATCCGGAAAAGCAAATTTGAAACACATTGGTGTATCAACCCCATCACTGTACCAAACGGTCTTGTAAGCGCAACAGTTCCGGCAACTTTGAATTTCCTTTTGAGTGCACGCTCGCCTCCCAGGAAAGGATAATTCGAAGTTGGAAGTTATGTATTGACAACACAACAGCCACTGAATTGGCAGGCTGTTAATTTCCAAGGGTTTCCACGAACTGGCGTGAGCTGAATAATTGTTTATCCGTGCTACTGTGGACAGGAACTTTGAACCTATCGAATCGTATTTTGGGAGTGAGAAAGAGGGTGAGAAAGAGGGAGATGGAAAAAAAGCCAAATAAATGTAATAAGTGTGACTTCAAGTGATAAAGGTTGCAGCTCGCCGGTCTGAGCGGCTTGACTAATTTGGATGGCTGCAGTCAGACAGTCGAGCCGTGCCGAGTTCGGTACAATCAAGTTAAGGTTAATTAGTGCCTAAGGCATTAGATTAATAAATTCTTGTCGCTTGAGGTGCGCTAGTAAGATTAAAGTACTTCAAGCCGTTTGTGTGATCTGCTCCTACCAATTCTCTGAACTTGAAGCTATCCCCATATTTTGATCGACCTCCGTATCATTTAGACGTGCCAACACATTTTAAACTCCAGCTGAGGCCTTCTCGTGCATTTTGAATACCTACAATCGTATACAAACATGCGCCTTTCGCAATTTTCTATATTGCTGCCATGCAAGTCTATCAATAGAGCACATAGTTTCTTCTTCCCCGCATCCAAATGGGCGACCGACTTGTGAAGGCGTCACTGAACTACACGCCCATGACTTCATAAATATGAGGGGAATGAGGGGGAGATCTTCTCTCATATCTCTTTGCCATCTCCCAATACATAAACTCTCGATATCTGCAAATAATTGAAATAATTCAATACTCATCAACTAATTTATAATACTCTCTCGATGAAAATGGAGCGACTTATCAGTGCCATTCGTAACACTCCATTAATTGACAGCCGCGCACGCCCATTACTGATTCCTTCATCTAAGACCAGACATTCCCTACTAGGCTCTACTACCAAAACCAATGGAGATGCTCTAAAAGCTGCTCGTTCAACTTTGGCACACATTCGAGCGACAAATCAACTTGCAGATATTCTTGGTTGTCCCCCAACATGGAATGACGTCTTGAAAGCCATTGCAAAAGAGAGCGAAAAGCCAGGCTATGCGTGGATCCAACAATGTCTGCGAGGGATTGAGACAATTATTCTTGATTGTTTGAGTACGGAATATCAAACTTTCGACTATCTTTGGCATGACAACTCAACAAGAAGTCAGTATCTCTATATTTCTCCGCTCTCGTATAGACGCTGTGTTACCTCGATACGGCACCTATCTGCCTGTCCAACGCTCAGCTAATCTTGGCTGTCATAGTTAAGTGCAGGAGGATGGTAAGAATCGAAAAGCTTGCAGCAGACATAGTAATTCGGAACATGAGATTGTTCGCTATCTCTGAAGATAAATTCTTCGACTCAGTAGTCGAGGAGCTTCAAAAGGGTATAAATGATGCGCTTTCTGATACCGATGTTGTCGGCTTTACATCAGCCATCTATTATAAACCAAGGCTTGATATCCCTTGGGCCTGTCCTCTCGAACTGGTGAAATCGACCTTGATGCAATGTATTTGGCAACCACAGACCGAAGGTCATATTCGCTTTAAAGGGTTCGATTGCCAAATTTTGAACTCCTGGATTCTTCACATAACAGCTGTACTCATCCGACAATCCAAAAGTTCCCACAAGAAGCCAATTCAATTCCACACTAGTTGGGGCGACGATGAAATACCTCTCACTCGCTCTTTGCCATCACATCTAGAAGACTTCATTCGTGAGTATTCAGATGTTCCAATCGTTTTAGTACATTCTTGTTATCCATGGACGAAGGAAGCGGGATACTTAGCTACCGTACACTCAAATGTGTATGTTGATATTGGTGAAGTGTTTCCTTGTATAAACAAGGATGGCCAAGAAGGTGTTATTCGCGATCTTCTGGAGCTTTGTCCCACGAAGAAGATTGTGTGGAGCTCAGATGGGCATGATTTCCCAGAAACTTATTTACTCGCACAAATTCAGTTTCGCCAAGCTTTTGAAAAAGTAAGATTTCCCACCGTCAGTTAAGAATATGTCATATATTCAATGATACTGATAGTCTCCAGGTCCTCGTAGAATATGTCAATGAGAAAGCATTGACTATTCAACAAGCTATTGAAGTCGTTGAAAATGTATTCTTCAACACATCCAATCAGCTGTATGCCCTCCAGTCAAAATTGAGGCCTATGGAAATACAGGCTGTTGATCGATCTCTGAATGGATTGGACGGGACTACAATGAACAATGGGGTTAATGGCACCAAAGACGTCTACCACACAAACGGCATCAGCACCATTAACAAAATCCATGGAACCAATGAGGTTAATGGAAGCAATGGAATTAACGAGATAAATGAGAGCAACGGGATCAAGAGTACCAGTCATGCCGATGTTTCAAAAGATCCATCCGACCTCGAAATCTTTGAATCATTCATAGCCCGACACCCGGGTATCAAATTTTTGCGTGTGCAATATGTCGACTACTGCTCCATTACTCGATTACGGATTTTATCAATCAAACGTGTCCGTAATCTTCTTTGCGACGAAAAGGTTGATGTTTCTATTGGTATCACCAATAGTAGTTTAACTCTCACGCCAGTCGATCATCGGATTGATTCAGTTTCTCCCAGAGGTGTATCTAGGCTTTTAACCGCAGTCCCCTCTTCTATGCGACCCGGTCCATGTCAGGGGTATGCTTCGGCACAAGGAGAGCTTCGCAATTCTGACAATTCGCCACTTGATGTATGCCCGCGAACTAATCTTCGGAACATTGTGAATAGAGCGAAGAATCACGGTCTTGAATTTCTTGTCGGCTTTGAGATTGAGATTATATTCATGAAAGGCACACTTAACGAGGATAATACCCACGTTTATGCTCCTCTTCCCGGTTCAGACTCTCATTGTTGGGGATCAAATAATGCACTCTCTCCCGCTGTTATAAATGTAATGGATGAGATAATGGAGAAGCTTTCCGACGCTGGTATTGATCTCGAGCAGTGGCATCCAGAATCAGCAACTGGTCAATTTGAGTTTGTCCTACCTGCATGCGCGCCCATCGAGGCTGCAGATATACTTTTACATACTCGAGAAATCATCGCCGCAGTTGCACAAACTCATGGATGGCGTGCAACATTGCACCCAAAACCTCTTCCCAACAAGATGGGCACGGGAGCACATGTTCACCTATCCATACCAACCCCGGAAGGAGAGAAGGAACAAACGTATACTCATTTCTATGCGGGAATACTGAAACATCTTCGCGCAATCACGGCCTTCACCTATGGTAATCCTGCCAGCTATGATCGTATGCTTGCAGCTGGTGGTTGGGCCGGCAGTACATGGGTGACTTGGGGTACCCAAAATCGAGAAACCGCCCTACGTAAGATCGACGGATCGCATTGGGAGTTGAGATGTATGGATGGCCTTGCCAATATCTACTTGGCTTTAGCAGCTATCATTGGTGCAGGTGTAGAAGGCGTAGTTTCAAAAGACAAGATGGCATGGCTCGACTGCGACATGAACCCTGCTAAATTGAGCCAAGCAGACAGAGATGTCTACAACATCGAAGAAATGCTGCCTTGTACTTTGGAGGAGGCACTTGCCGCTCTCAAAATCGACCAAGGTATGTATAAGATACTTGGTGAGGCCGTGGTGGTCACATATATTGCGATGAAACGAGGTGAGCTGGAGCTTATGAATAGCATGAAGGATGAGCAGAGAAGAAATTGGATAATCGAGAGGTATTGAATTGGTGATCCCACAGCTGGGCTACATGCAACGGACTCAGCGGTCATTTTCTAGCGCTTCTCGGGCACGTCTGGATTTCAATGTGATGATCGAGGGGCTGAGCCCGCTTCAATGACAGTAATCATAAGGCGATTTATGTTTAGGCGTTGTACCTTTTCCATTGAAGGATCGCAGAGGGAAATACTTTTCAAGTCAACGCAATAATTTATCCTTTTTGAAGTATGGAATCGAGATTCATCTCCCAGGCCTTTAATGGTCTAACACTTTGAGCAAACCCAGTATCTTTTTTGTACACTTGTTGAACTCCCACAAATGATCATGCTCTGTAATTTTACACATTTTCTTGATCATCAACACTTATACGACTCTGCATAAAAGCATACCGCCCACCCTCCTTTCTACACATTCTCTTGCTTCCAGGATTCCATTCGATGTGCTGATATAGATACACTCTCCCGGTCTTCTCAAACCCTGCACAAAGTTCGCGTCCTTACCCCTCACAATCTTTGAAAGCCCTTCCACATCCATCCAAATTCTTTTTGTAGGTTTACTGATCATCGACATTTCACTCAACACCGGCTCATTATTCCAGTACTTCATTCCTAGCCACAACCTCCTTGTTGAGATATTTCGCTGCGTAACAGGTTCTGGTACATATGTAGATAATTCATCCATAGGAGGAGGAGTGAGGCCACCGCGGGTGACCGAAGAGAGGAATCCAGAGGATTGGAGACCGAGCATGAGAGTGAGGATCATGTTCGAAGAGGGCACAGAAGTAAGCCCAAGTCGGGCTTTAGAGGCATTTTGAAGATGTGATGCTACGTGAGAGAGTGTGACGAGAGACATGATGAGGATTGGGAGTCTCTAAGACGAATTCGCAAGCCCGCGCGGGCACAATTGGTGCGAGTTATCGGGGGCGTATTCTTCAAAGTGGAGAGTGGATGAGATGCTGAGATGGATGTTAGCTACTTGCCGTGAAAATATAGTTGAATTGCTACTGTCAGATTTTCGCAGGACTCACATTCGCAGATTCAGTAATTGTACTCTCGGAATATTTTCATATAATCTTGGATCACCTTGAAATTGTTCGACTCGCTCGTTCAATTTCCTAATGAAGCCAAAAACCAAAATAATTTATTTTTGCCTCATCTAATCGCGATAAGGTTCTAAGGCATGAACTTTCCATCACCTCAATTCCACCCTTCATTGGTTCTCACTTCATGCAGCTTGCCGCCGACATGGCACTCAACCCCCCATGCCGCAGGTCGATAGCTTGGTATGAAATATTGTAATAATATTAATAAGTCGAATCTCTTTCTCTTTCTGTTCCTCTTTCTTTTCTCTTCTGCTAAGTATAATATTTTTCTCTTTCTTTTTTGTATTGTCTTCTCGTCGCGCAAGAAAGCG